ATCATCATCAACGTTGAAAACAGCTGCTTAATATTTTTGTAAAAACTGTACACTGATACATTTTTAACCAAGTCTTTGATGAATATAAAGTTCAAAAGAACAGCATTTATTTGAAACAGAAATCTTTTGTAACATTATAAATATCTTTACTGTCAACTTTTGATAAATTTAATGCATCCTTGCTAAATAAAAATAACAACACATTAAAAAAAAATCTCAAATTGAACAAACCATTAGTATTTTTAGGAAAATCTTACCTGGGCTTCCTGTGTCAGCTATTTTGCACAAGCTAAGCTCATAGATTCCAGTCACTTTATTACTGTAACAGAAACATCAGAAAACAGTGTTAGCAAAGTTTCTTAAATTTTTAAACGAAAAAAAAAAAAAAATCTGGAAAAGACACATGACTGGAGTAATGATGCTGAAAATTCAGCTTTGCAGCACAGGACTAAATTACATTTTAAAATATATTACAGTAGAAAACATGATTTTAAATTGTAATAATATTTCACAATATTACTGTTTTTTGTATTTTATTTCTGATCAAATAAATGCAGCCTTGGCAAGCATAAGAGAAAAAAAAAATCTTACAGACCCCAAAACTTTGAAACCGTAGCATACCTGAAAGATTATTAAAATGAACAAATTTTATTTTTACTTCATTTAACATTTATTTAACACTTTATTTATCATTCACCAATTAATTATTCACAGTAATACCAAAAATATTAATTAAGAAAGTAAATAGGTTAAATTTTGATTTCATGCTGACTTTAAACTGCAGATGGCAGTGAATATCTATAAGCATCAGGCTACCACATTAGTTATGCTGCCTATAAACTTTCAGCTAACAGATGGTGCTTATGGACAGGCAATCTCCTCTAACACTGTGAAAAACATGAGGTGTAATGCCAGCTGCATCACGCGCTGTTGGGAGATCTCTGTGCCTAAATAGTTTGTTCATGTGCTCGAGTCACATAGCGATGAACACAACACAAGAGTGTTGTCAGGTGCTACATTATTAGTGATCTGGTGTGAGCCTGAAGCAGACTGTGAAGAAGCAGTGTGCATGTGTGTGACTCAGGACTACAGCGCAGTGATGACTATAAGCAAAGGCACACGATTGACATGAACAGACATTGAGACAGAGAAAAACAGAGAGATTGGTGCAGGTGACTCCTCCTCAAATATCCTTCCATCTCTTTCTCCACTCGCTCACCTCCCTCTCTTGTCCTCATTTTACTGTTTAAATGGCACGTAGATGCACAAAAGCTTGCCTGCGTCTGTATCTAGACTCATCAATTCAGATTTCAGCTGCTAATAAGCCAAATTTAGTAATACAGTGAATGCAGAGTATAATGTATTATCAAATGTAAATGTCAGACCTACATTCATCCACTGAGAGTTTTTTTTTTCTTGTTAAAGAAATGTCATTTTGATCATTAGGGGGGAAAAATCCCTAGTAAAATTCACTAGTAATACTTCACCTTAACTCATACTATCATGTAGAATGAGTTCAGAGAGAAGCAGAAAACAATGACACAGATACATAATTTTGCTACTGTTACACCTACAGATCACAAATGTATCATAAAGCACTTTAATGGTAAAAATGCTTTATGAGGTGGTTCTGATACCTAGCAATATCGCTATCAATACAAAGGCTGAGCAAAACCAAGAGTTCAACCGCAGCAGGAAAAGGTCGAGAACAAAAAGAGAGACAAAACAAGCAGAAACAGTCAGGCAACAGAAACATTTACAAATCAAAAGACAAAAAGCAGCATTCAGATTAAACAGGCAAAGGAAATAAATGAAAATAAAGCAAACTGGCATCATTAAAAGAACACAACAAGCACATTTTCATAATAAGTAGAGCTGTATGCACTGTGCACATTGATTAAATTGCTGTTTCTCGTTTGGTCCACTAGATGGCTCTCTTTCTCCCTGCAGGATTTTTCCCTCTCACTGACAGCAACAGTGACTCATATTCAACATGCTCTCCTGAATTCTAAGCAGTTAGGTAGATGCATTTGCATTAGGTGAGCAGAGCATTTGCAGACCTTTTATGCCGTTTGGAAACAGACAACCTTCCAATGACAGCAGACAGATGAACTGAACTTGATTTAACAGGTTGTCCAATGTGGAGAGTGAACACAACATACCTGCTGGAGTTGTGAGAAGATTTCAAGTTTTTAGCTGAGATGATGTTGAGAGACAGGACTGTGTCTGCAGCCGAATCATCCACTTCTGGCTTATTCCTGATTCGACCTACAACGGACAACAATCGATGTCAGATGGCTGTAGCCTTTATAATACACTTTATAAAATGGTTATTTCAGGCCCTGGCTTCTGATTGGTCAATAGAGCAATCCAGCTGTGCTAACAGCAATTATTTCTTCCATTTAGGATTTTAGGACAAAATTTGTACTGACCAACCACCAGCTCTCTGACATCTTTCCAATGCAGCTCACTGCCCTTCTCGTGGATCAGAGTGACTGTTATTCTACGCTGAATGCCCTGAAAACACACGCAACACAGGTTACTAAAAGCAATCTCAATTTGAATCATTTATATGTCCTTGACTAAGGACAGTGAACATGATCTTTAAGCTAAACTACAGCTTTACAGACTGCAACTGCAGAGAGAATTCAATATTAATAGAACAGGGAGACAGAACAACATGTACATTGCAATGCAAAGATCTATGAAAATTTAATGCAATGATAACAGAATTTTATATTCAGTTATAATCACTATAATGCTATTCAATATGTTATGCATTCACTGTGTTTTTATAAATTCCTAAAATGTTCTGGTCAATTGTTTTTGCAGTTTTTTGATGTTTCCAGTACATCATATTTCATATATAAATATAAGGTAATGTTAATAATATCAAAAGAAGAATTGTAGCCATATCATTTTAAGAGCAAATATTTATACTCCTATTAGTTAAAGCATAAATAGAAAGAATAAATACCTGGTGCAAAAGGTATGTGCCATGACAGGGAAGACCTCCTGAGTGATCTACTACTGCTGGGATATAACTACAATAAACAACACACAATTCATATAATCACAAACACATTTTATAGCAACATATTTATATGAAATACTAAATGTATAATTTGAAATATAATATATGTAATAAATGTATAATTTCTCTTCAAATGTTGATTATTGCCTGAGGCATCACAGTAAAACCATTTTAACCAAAAATATTGGGCCTGTATGTAGATATAAATATGGTTCACTTACTCTCCAGTGGGCTCCAGTTCACTGATCTCGAACCAGGCCAGCAGGTCATACTTGCTCACACACTGACCCAGGTTAGACTTGCTGATGGCGTTCAGTTTGGTGGCTGGCACTGCAAGGAAAGTTGAATATTAACAGGGCGGGAATATGATGAACCATATGACTGATGTATTTAAAATCAGCCTACTTTCTTTACTAAAAAGGCCAGGTTCTATTAATCCATTAAAAAAATGCTGAACATGACAGATAAGCAATACGAGCGTGAGTCAGGTAATGTGAAGAAACACAAAGCATCAGCTTAAAGGATGGTCATTATGTAGACTTTGGAAAATCGGCCACAAGAAATTCTACACTACATCGGGAAAATCAATACAGCCTGATTTGCTCCTAAAACGGCAGCTGAGGGGGCGGCACTCAATTTCCTGCAGCCGTCTGCTGTTTTAATTAGCAGTACAGTTTCAAAGCATCACAAAAGGAAACACCAAGCAGCTGTCGTAGCAGTCTAGATCAACCAGGGAGGGAAAATAAGGGAGAGTGACACTTAAAAACACAGCAACTCAAGGAAAAGCCTTTATAGCTTTATATCTTCAGGATCAGGAATATCTACATTTCAAAGAACGTCCACTGGGATTCTGTCATCAGGTGGGGATGAAGGGCGACACTAGTCACAGTATATTAAAGCACAGCACAGAGCCAATCACTATCGATCTCAACTACTCTGCGCCTTTGAGGCTCTGTACCAACCGTCATGTTTGGGCACTCTGAGAACGGGGCTGTTGGGTACAGGGAGAAAGGGGAAGTGGGACAGCTCATCTGCCCCTTCCTCCAGGCTGGCGACGGCCGTGGAGGCCAGTGCATTGGCGTGCTCTGAGAGTGTGTCCAACACCTGGCCGTGCATGTACCCGGTCATCAGATACCTGATCAACTCAATCTTACGTGTATGGTCTGGGTGGGTGACACCAGGTTAGAGTGGTGAGGACGAGGATTGAAATGAAAAAGACAAAGATGGTGTTAAATGTATGTGAGAAATGGAAAAGATGAAGTATGCAGTTGCCCCAAAAACTATTTGTGCACTTAAAAATGTATGAATCTCTTTGCATTATAACAAAATGTTATATATCAAAGTGGCATTTATTTTGAAGATAAAATATAAAAATATGGACTACCATTTAACGACTTAGGGTAAGATTTTTTTTTTTTCTGAAAGAAATTAATATTTTTATTTGATCATTAATATGATTAAAAGTGACAGTAAATTATATATATATATATATATATATATATGAAATAAATGCTACTTTTGAATTTTCTATTTATCAGAGAATCCTAAAAAAAGTATCAGTGTTTTTACAAAAATATTATGTAGCACAACAAATGTTTCTTGAGCAACAAATCAGCATATTAGAATGATTTCTGAAGGATCATGAGACATTGGAGACTGGAGTAATGGAGAAAATTCAGTTTTGCTGTCACAAGAATAAATTACATTTTGAAATATATTAAAACAGAAAACAGTTGTTTAAATCATAATAATATTTCACAATATTACTTTATTTTTGATCAAATAAATGCAGTCTCGATGAGACTTAAAGGGTTAGTTCACCCAAAAATGAAAATTCTGTCATTAATTACTCACCCTCAGTAATTACTCAGCTCTCAGATTC